GTGTACCAGCCTGGCTTGGTGCCCTCTTGACATGTTCTGGCACTCATCACAAGTTGTATTCTTCTTGCACAAGCCACAACCAACTTAATAAACTCACACTGTCTTTACAGGGTTCCCAAAGCCTATAAAACAGGGGGCAGTCCTTGCTGTCCTCTTGGGAACAATGCTCCCATTGGGTGGCTAATGCAATTAAAATGGGGTCTTTTGGAGACTTTATACAGCTGGTTGTAGCATCACAAACTCTGCTGGCAAGCCACCTTTCCAATCAGTATGGCATTTGTGCTATGACATAACCCCTTTTCTCCTAGACTTGCTCAGAATATGTTTTAAACTTTGGCAAATTAATTCAGGAAGTGAAAAACGGACATGGGAAGTATTAACGATTGAGTTCTTTCTATGGAAGACTTTGACAAATAAGAGTTTGGTCCATGTTCATTACTCCTGTTAAAAAGTAAAGTCACATCCTTTTTGCAGATTTTTTTCCCCTTTGGCAGAGTGCCTGACCCTTGAAGTTATTGCATTGGGGCAATAATATTTTAAGAGGTTCTGGTTTAGTCAACAGTGTGACAGAGCTGTATGAATCCAAGGCAGGTCACTACAACCTATCCTGAATGACTGTTTTGAATTGACTTACCTTCCTTAAGCAAAGGAAAACAAGCATTTGGCAAAAGTTACTTCAACGTGCTGTTAAAAGAAAAATAAGCTGTTTAGGACACAGTTATAGTGCACAAAAATACTCTATGAACAATTGTCACAGTTGTTTGAAAGCCAGGTGGTGCAACTGAAACTTCAGACTGTTGAATTTTGAAGGGGGGATTTCTTTTTTATTGTTCTTATTTTGTCTTGCACCTATGTAATAGTAGAAAAAAAAAATAATTTTAAATTTCATTCCATAAAATGGCAATCTCAGTCTCCCTGATTTATTCAGCCATTTACACTTGTTTCCTCCTTCCCCAGGAATTGACTGTTGAGATTTTCTTTTCTGTTTATCGTTTTTTTCTTCTTCTAACATTTACAAATAACAACAGCTAACAATATAGTGGAGATTTTAGTACTAAGCTCACAGATCAAAACCTTTCTCATATTGTAAAATAATTCATTGCATTTTGCAGCTGTTATATAGTTAATCAAACTTAACTTCATTATATTTAGAAATCATGGTTAACTTTTTTGTAAAGTTTTCTCATTTTTAAAGGTTTAATTGATCGAAACCATCACAATATTAATAATTTTAATTGGTATTGTATAAATACAACTGTATTCAGTTACTATCTATATTCTATAAAGTATTACCTGCATTTCATAATACAATAAAACTATTAAGTTGGGGTAGGGGAGAAAAACAGGGAATTTAGGGGCTTAAATGTATAGTATAGTAATATTTTTCATACTAGTTGAAAACCTCAAACTGGATATGATTTTTGGATTTACTGGTTCTGTATATTTCATAAACATGATTTTAAAGTTACTTTAAACTGACAGTTATGTTCTTTTTATACAGCATCTACAATTACTGTATGTAGTGAATTGGCTCAGAAATTGATTGCTATGGGCACCTTTTGGAGGCTTTTGTGCAAACAAGGGACTTATCAATATACTTACTCTTTAGTCATTCAACTGCTTTAAAGTTGTAAAAGCAACATTATCCTATTTAATACAGCATAGTTTTAATGAAACACCTGATTTTTCTAAGAAACCGTTCTAACAATAATAAAATTCTATAATTTGTAATTTTAAGAGTACTTTGCAAAAGATTTGCTTTTCAGTAAATTTGCATAAAATATGAATGTCCTCTTAACATCAATAGTAAATATATAGTATAATAAATAAATAATAATAATATAATAATATAATAATAAAACTCTCCAAAGTGTTCTCTGTATGCAACTTTATGTGTGTAGATACATTTCTGCAGTATGTTTCTAAAATGATATATTTCCTATTTGTGTATCTTCACTGCAAATCAGATGGTTTTATTTTTCGATAGCACAGTGCAATATATCTCTCTTGTATGTATGTGCAGTTAAACTGTGTAAGTGATAATTGATGTAGAAAATCAGCTGTTCCTGCAAACAGAGAAAGTACGGTACTATATGCAGGATTTTAAATGCCTGACGGAAAGTAACTTTGTTCTTTATGGCTGGAAATGTGGAAAATTAACAAGCGACTCTTTCTCTGGGACACACCCTGCAAGTGCCTCTATTGAGTGGGGAGAGCACAGCCGGCCTTTGGAAGCCAGAGCCTTGATTTACGGCTGCAGTGTTGACAGCTCAGTGGAACCCACATGCTGTTTGCAGTACCGCCAAGCTGGGCTATGACCCGCCGACCTCTACCCTATGCTCCCCCCTCTTGTCTCTGTGCTGTAATAAAAACCTGTCTTGCAGGCAGGGCTACAATGACTTTGTTGTTCAGAAATGTACCAATTTTTTTTCATGAAATTCTTTTCAAAGCAAAAATAAGGAACGTATGAGGAAATGGGGCTTTGGGAGCAGGCTTGTTTGTGCTAGAATTTATTCTCTCCTTGCAGTTCTCTGCTGCTGGCTCCTGAATGGAACTCCTCAGTATGCCCCCCCCCCCACACTTCTGGGGATAGCCCCTCTAGTCTGAAACACCAGGGCACACATTTAAATGCTTGCATTCTTTCAAAAGTTCCCTGCTTTATGTGCACCTTTCCCACTTCCCCCCCTCTTATGAGTGGCTATCAGGATTATGCTAAAAACTGAGAACCAGCCATACTGCCTTTCTGAACGTCTTGTGTCTCTGAGGCTCCAGAATATAGTTGTGTTCAATTTGGAAACTGAACATTTGATAGGGCACAAGTTGATTCATGTATATAAAATAAGAATCTAAGAGAATTAACGGCTCATTTAATTCACCCTTTCTCACACTTTGGTCTAACAAAAGTGGTCCTCTGTTAAGCCAAGGAGTAACATAAGGTAAATTGAACTTTTCAATTTACATATCCTGTTATTAGCATAGGTGGTATTCAGCAAGTTCTGACCAGTTCTGGAGAACCAGTAGTGGAAATTTTGAGTACTTCGGAGAACTAGTAAATACCACCTTTGACTGGCCCCGCCCCCATGTATTCTCTGCCTCCCAGCTGATCGGGAGGAAATGAGGATTTTAGAGTATCCTTCCCCTCCATGCCCATCAAGCCACACCTACAGAACCAGTAGTAAAAAAAATTGAATTCCACCAATGGTTATTACTATTTTTTTTATAATGACAGCAGAATGGTTTACCATTGCTTTCTTAATATAATAGATAATAATCTCAATTTTTCTTAACTAACATAGTATGTCATACTGTCTGGAGGGTATTAATCGTATCCAGGCCCACCCTAAGAAAAGGCAACGTTTCTTGTAATTATTTTATGGATGTGTGTGTGAGTGAGAGTTTAGCTTCAAGTTCCTTGAATTTTAGAACTAGACAGATTTTTTTTAAAAGGTGCAGAATATCTGATTTGAGAGCTCAGTGGTTTGCCAAACCACATAAAAATTGAGATGGGATAAGAATTAGGATTTAAACTGAGTAAATTGTGTGTGTCTGTGTGTGTGTGTGTGTGTGTGTGTGTGTCTGTTAATAGTTGTGGGTATCTGCCCAATAAATAACCATACACAAGAAATGGAGACTTTTCTTGAAAGTGCTCTCTCATCAGATAAAGAGCCACAGTTGGTTTTCTTTGCTTTAATGAGAACTTGCTAAGTTAAAAGCTGCTTTCATGTTGGTAATCAACATGTTTCTTCTAGTTGCTTGCTATCAATTTACAGTAGAAAATTATTTTCAGATAGCTTTAAGCCCTTTATACATATCAGAGATAAGAGAAATATTTTTAATGTATATAGATAGTAAGTTACCCTTATCTAAGCTACATTCGAGGTACAATCTGTGTGTAAAATATAATACAGCCCATCCTAGCATGCTGTTGCACATTTCTGATTTTTTCTGCATTTTTAGCAATGCCCTTTTTAGAAATAACAGTTTTAGAAGTAACAATGGGGAAATCTTTGGCCAAATTCACATGGTCTTGAGTCATATGTTAAATCCATATGCATAACATATATTGGGAACATTAATAAGAAGCTTAAGTATTCTTAGAACTGAGATATTAATGGTCTGAAGAAAGGATTGATGCATTGCATGTCATTCTATTCACAATTATGTATCGTTTTAAGAAATAAATCCATAATTATAATTTTAACTTTCATCCTAATATAATACATATTTTGTAGATAAAATGAACTATTCTAAGCAATGCATTGTATTGGGAAAGGTATGGAAGTAGTAGGTATATGGTATGAAGGAGAGTAGTGCATAAGTGAAAATAAGTCATTTTTGGATATTTCCTTGAGAATAAATTAATGGTTCATTTAAGAATGCCTATTCCTAATCTGATTGCATTGCCTTTTTACAGAAATCATAGACATTTATGCTGTATTTATCTTGAATAGGCTTTGAATAGGAAGTAGGGTAAACCGCTCTGTAAACCGCTTAGAGAGGCCTGAAAGGCCTATGAAGCGGTATATAAGTCTACTGCTATAGGGTGCAGAGAAAGAAAGTATCAATGGAGTCTAATCTGTCAGATAATCTGTTGAGGTTTCCCCCTCTAAATTTAACATCTTGCCCATACATTTGGTTTGGCAATTTGTTTATTGGATGTTCCAGGGTATTCCCACTGAGTTTGCCAATCCAGTCTATTTCCATTCAGCTTCATTATGCAGCATTTGAAATTGCCAGGTTACTCAGTGAGCTCTAGGATATTTCAGGGTTGAAGATGTATTTCTTCTTACATAAAATAATACTTAACAAAATTACATCACTATGTAGGAATCATGCTGTTTTAATTAAGTCTATACTTTTATCGATCATACAGACTTTTAGGGACCCTTCCCTGTCCTGAATAGCTTAAGCATGTACATAGTTATTGTAGTTCAGAGTTTATTGCTTTTAAGAAAACTGGAAAGAGAGTGTAACTTTCCCCCCTTTATTCTGTCCTGAAGGCTCTTCAAGTGGCAAGGCAATTCCTTCTGCAGCAGGCAACGGGGCTGACTTCTCCTACCAGCAATGAAAATAAGCAGCCGGCTGTTCAGGTAAGGGACAGCAAAAATGTGGGTATTTGCTATTAAACCTAATAGGACATGAGAATGTTTAAAATTCTACTTCAAATTTATATGTGAAAATCTGAGCTTTCTTAGCATAGCTTTAAAAAAGCATTAATAATTCTGAAAATATTTTAGCGATTGAAAGGTATTTTTACCATGTTAATATGTTAACCAATTTTGTTTGTATTTATTTTGTACAATGACAATAAAGACTATACTATTATAGGTATGCTTTTCATTGCCATGATTTCATGGTATAAGGTGTTCTTATTGTTCTCATTATACTCATTCTAGAAGTGAGGAAAACTGTTATTGTGCTGATGCTTTTTCCAAGGTGGAAGTTTTGTATTTACCAAGAATTTGTCTTTCACATTCTAAGCCAGCACTTACTCAGTATTGTCACTAGTTGATAATGTGTGCAGTTTTGACTGTCTGTCTTGGTGGCCTGTAAAAAATAATTGTAATACCTGTTATTAGAATCTCTTTGTCTATAACACAGTTTTTCAACCATTGGGGATAGAATGGCATTTTCTAGATTGCTGTACTTTTTAAACATTTCTGCGTCATTATACTGCAGTTATTTAAATCGTTAAAACTTAGTACTAGGGACGAATATAGAAATGATTGGACTACCTTAAATGAAGATTGAGTTTTTTTCTTTGCTTGTAAGCCTTATATTTACTTTTCATGATAGAAGCCATCTATCTAGGCTGGGGTAGCAAAAACTATTAAATTAAAAGTTTTAAATAATCAGGATATTTCTTTATATGGAGATGAAAATTATCAGAAGATAGAGGTGAAATTGTGCAGTGGAAAAAAAATAGTAAAAGGAGGGGGAACTGTTCTGGTTTTTTTTCCAGGAGACAACTTGGGCAACTTCTGTTTCTAGTATTTTTGGAATGAGAAAATAGCTTTCCTTTGTCTACTTAATCTATTCAATGCAAAGGTCTATACACTTCAATCATACCCCTTCTCATTTGCTTCCATCCTAGATTAAAAAGTTCTGAATTTTACAACTTTTCCTCATAGGAAAGCAATCCCTCGATCATCTTAGTTCATCTCCTCTGAACCTTCTCTAGCTTCATTATATACTTCTAAGGTGCAGCAAACAGAACTACACACAATATTGCAGGAGGGATTATACAATTGATTTACAAAAGGGCATAATCATATCGGTATTTCTGTTTTTAATATATTACTCCTAAAATGTTGTTGACCTTTTTTTTTTTTTTACAACAGATGCATTCGGTATTAACATCTTCATTGAACTATTTACCATTGCTTCAAGATCTCTTACTCATTATTGACTTCTAACTCTGATTCCCCTTAGTTTTAATCCCCTTAGAATGTTTGGCACCAATTTACAGCACTTTACATTTCCTCATATTGAAAGACATCTGCTATTTTGATGTCCACTGTCCTAATGTGCTGACATCCCTTTGGAGCTCTTTTACAGTCCCTTATTATTTTTACTAGTCTGAACAATTTAATATCATCAGGAAACTTGGCTATTTCACTAGTCATTTCTCATTCCAGATTATTTATAAATATATTAAAAAGCAGTGATTCTAGGGCAGAAACCTGTGGGATTCCATTAGTTACATTCCTCCATTGTAAAAAAAATGATTTGGTTTTCTCCAATACTTTTCTATTTTTAGCTACTTTTCCTGTTCAAGCCTACTGGGAAATCTTTGATGATGAATTTTATCAGAGACTTTGAAAATCTAAGTAGATGATATCTACTTGCTTGCTCTTATCTGCACCTTTATTAACAAATTCCAATAGATTAGTTATACAAGACTTCCCTTAGTGAAGCCATATTGGATATCCTTGAGCAAGACCTATGTCTCCAAATGCTTGGTAATTTTATCTTTAATAGTAGTTTCAAATATGTTCCCCAGAACAGATATTAAACTGACAGGTCTACAATTTCCTGGATCTCCTATGAGCCCTTCTTAACAATTTGAATTATGCTGGCTACCTTCCAGTCTTCAGTGGCCTAGACCCAGTAGAATCAGGCTGCATATTTCAGTTAGGAGGATCACAACCTCACCAGAACGTATTATTTTGTTTTGAGTTTCGCAATAGACTTAGACAAAAAAAGGCAATAAAGACCTAAAGGTAAAGGTTCCCCTCACACATATGTGCTAGTTGTTCCCGATTCTAGGGGGTGATGCTCATCTTCATTTCAAAGCCAAAGAGCCAGCGCTGTCTGAAGACATCTCCATGGTCATGTGGCTGGCATGACTAAACACCGACAACGCATGGAACTCTGTTACCTTCCCACCAAAGGTGGCCCCTGTTTTTCTACTTACATTTTTTTACGTGCTTTCAAACTGCTAAGTTGGCAGAAGCTGGGACAAGTAACAGGAGCTCACTCCTTTACTCGCCACTAGGGATTCAAACCGCCGAACTGCCAGCCTTTCTGATCAACAAGCTCAGTGTCTTACCCACTGAGCCACCACGTCCCTAATAAAGTCCTAGAAGACCCTAAATCTACAGGCAGTGAATCCTGACTGGGTTTGTAAAACTCAGCATCATTAGCTGTTAGTTAAGGTTTTCCAGTATTGAGATTTAATTTATCCTAGGTTTTATACATGAAATTGTTCCACATAAAATTCTGCCATGCCTATCTAGGATAATGTATTAATTTGCCCCTAAACATTTTCACTAACCAACTGAAATGCTTTACATTGAAACAAAAGCTTCTGAAAATAATATTTTTTTCCTTTCAGAAAAGTTCATCCCTCTTCAAATAATGTCCAAACTTTGGCTAAATAGCTTTGTTGGCTCTGTGTGATTCAGAAAGTATTGACGCTCCCTTCTCTACCCATTATGTGACTTTGGAACTAGAATATTATCACAGTCACAGAGCTGTTGCTGTTCTGGCATCTAAGATTGTGTGGAATATCATGTTGTCATGCTCTGCACTGCCCTTCCCCCAAAAGTGATATCTAGCGATTGCAGTGGGAATGGAGAAATATATAGCATGATGTCATCACATCACACTTTTGTAGACATTACAAGGAAGAGTGTGAAAGAGACAGAGAAAGAGGTAGCAGCTTTATGCCTTTTGTAACATCTAATTACACCCTGAATCAGTTACACCTCAAGCATCAAGCCTGCTCTTTAACTTTAAAATGATAAAATATCCTCTTTTCAGCTTCAAATGTCCCCAGAAACATTGTCAAAGTGGAGGTCATTGTACATACCAGCCAAGGTAGTGGACTTGGGATATGCAAAGGGTTGCCAAATGAGCATAAATTAAGGTCTAAAGGAGGAACAGAAAAAAGGAGGGGAAGCCCAAGTGAGTGGAAAGTGACAATTTTAAATAGCTGTGTGGAGGGGCTCTCCCTTTAGGCTAATTAAATTTATTGGCAAACAGCAGGATACTTTATTAGAGCCATGCAGGTTTAATTAACAAAAGAAAGTAATTAGTGTGTGCTATCCTGAAACTGAAGGTCCTGCCTATATATCAATCTGAATTCCTTCTCAAATCTGCTAGAAATCACAGAAATCCCATAGAAGACAACATGGAGAAGGAGAGCCTGTTTTCTGGTTATCTAGAATGCTCCAGGTGGCTAAAACCCTGTGATAATCTTGATATTATTTTGATCTCATGTTTTGTTTTAAGTGCATCTCAAATAAAACAAGGGGATTATCTTGTCTGTGGTTTCTCATTCCGTTTTGTATGCGCACACCCTGTCCTCAAGTGAATATGCCCCATTTCCTTCTTAACCAGATTCTATTTATTTCTCTCAGAGACTTTCTGCCTCTGAAACTGTACAGCTGAGGCTACATTATGTTCCTTTGAAAGCAGGAGAAATTCTCATTTCTTGATGCCCAGCAATATTCGTTTCGTGATCAGATGAGGACATGATTATTAGCAAGACTAAAGTTCATCAAGATTCACTTTTCAGAGAAGGCTAGTCTCTGGGCACCCCCCCCCCACACACACACAACACACACTTTCTACATCTCAGTAAAGTCAAGTCAGATCAGAATCCATTCTAGAAAAATAGTTTTAACTCACATGTTCTACTCTCGCTTCACTTTGCTTATTCCAATAATTTTCAAATGAAATCCTACTGTGAGTTTTCTGCTAACTGTCTTGTTTTTCTTCTGGAGTCTTGAATACCCCATAAAAATGATATTAACTTAGGAAAGTTTGTGAGACATGATAGAATCCAGATCCACCTGGAAACATTTTTTTTCTCTATGTCTCTTTTCCTTCCTTCTTTCTTCTCCTTCATCACACCTGACCTGAAAGGAGGAGTCATTTAGTAGAGGGAGCAGACAAACCACCAGTTTCATTAATGAGTTTAACTGAAAGTGAAGAAGGCAAAATCATTGTTGATATTAACAGCAATAATTCATCTGAGCTTCTCCTGAGCCAACAGTCATCTTTTTCCAATAGCTTTTTCAGGAAGGAAATGCAGTTACTAAGTGGAAAACATATTTAAAGAACAAAGACAGTAAGGGTGAAGTCAAATTCCTGTAATCTGTGAGTCTCTCTCCTTTTTATTTTTGTGTGAGTACACATGCCCATATTTCCTATATTTTTTCCTATTGTTTTTCTCCCCTTCTGTTTTCTTTTCCTTTTTTTTTTTTTTTTTGGTGAATCTGGATTCTATCTAGCCGTCTTTCTAAACTAGTCTTATTCTGTCATTATGTGTTTACCTTCCCTTTCACCTTCACTTGTTCCTGGTCTGTTTTCTCTCTCCCTCTTTATTTTTTATGGTCCCTTTGCTTTGTCTCTTTACATTACCACCACTCCTGGTCCACCCTTTCCCAGTCTTTTTTCTGTCTGTCTGGATAACTTTCTCAAAGTTAACAAAGCCTAATGTTCTCTCTCTGTCTCCCCACTTCCTCCCCTCTTCCCCCCGCCCTCCCCATCTTTTTGTGTTGCGAAAGCATTTGTGAAAATTATAGGCGTGAGTCAGGCATAACTCAAAACTCTCTCTCTCCTCCGTATTCTCCAGCAGTGT